TGTTCCGAAGGACGGGATATGGGAATCGCAAGCCGCAACGAAACGTCCTTTGAGCTGCCGGATCTCAATCTTCCTGATGATTCGGGTTTTTGAAGTTTGTGGATGGAAAATAAGTGAGAACATCGTTGCCTGATCAACAATTCTTTTTGCCCCCCAAAGTTAAGTGGTAGCTAAAGCATTAACATAAAATAGTCCTAATGGTTGTAAGTAATGGAAGTCAACTTTTATCTGAAATTCTTTTGGGGTTAACCCTTGAGGAATTGTTTTTAACTGATAATTAGTTAGTTATTAATTGCAATTATTGTTTAGATTATTGCATCTATACGTTTTTATAACAATTATTTATACGATTGAATTATCATGAATAATTTTCAAGAGTTGAGACTACAAGGCCAGAAACATTCAGTACCTTGCCACGCACCGGCTTCCTATGTACATCAGTTCCTTTAGAATCGTGATCATCATGAAGGATTTAACTTGTAGTTATGATCGTGTTCTCGGTTGTATCGCGTTTATTGCGATTACGACAATAGCATGTGCTACCAGTCATTACAGATATCACGGTTCTGCAATAACAATTTTAGACGTTAGTTTTATCGCTATATATTAACAGTTGCTATTCCGGCGGATGGTTATATAAATCCCTGATCATGACTAATAGTAGGTCTAATTCAACTCTCACCAATAATCTTTACATGAACATGAGCCAAGCCAGAAATGATGGAACCGAGTTCAGTCTCGAACAATCACTTCTCTATCGTACAACTTCGACACTAGTTTCGCCACGACGTGACAATCTACACACAATCTAAGGTTCTTCACAATCCTTAAGGGTTCCGAGCTAACAAGCCCGAAGGCTGCTAGCTTTTCGCTGTGCCTGTACAATGTGCTCTCCTTATCCTCCCCTATGTCAAGGAACACCTTGGAAGTGTCTGGAGAATACCCTGCAACTTTTAAGTCCCCTGTCATGCTATCTAACTTCAAGAATATTTCTTTCGACTGAGGATGTGAACGGTCGCCGGCGACAAATTCGTGAACAATTCTATTCATCTCAATCAAACTGCAGCCTGGGGTCTTCTTGATTCCTCTTTGCATTATTGGCTCCCTTAGTTCATGCAGACAATCCCATCTTTTGCAAGATGCATATATATTGCACAAAAGAACATAAATGGCCCCGTTTCGGGGTTCTAATTCGATAATCTGTTTAGCCGTCATTTACGCAATTCCAACGTCTTTATGAACTCTACAAGCACCAAGAAGAGCTCCCCAAACAATTGTATTTGGTTCCATTGGCATATTCTTTATAACCTCGCAATCTTCTCGTAAATGTCCCGCTCGACCTAGAAGATCAACCATACACCCGTAGTGCATTACATTGGGTTAACCCATTTTCGGTAGTCATGCTAGCAAAGAACTTCCGTCCTTCACGTACCATGCCGGCATGACTACCGGCACAAAAAACACCAATGTAAGTTATCTCATCTGGGTTTATTGAAGCTTTTAGCATTTCATAGAACATACCAAGAGCTTCTTCAGCATGGCCATTAATAGCAAGACCAACGATCATGGCTGTCCATGTAAAATTTTCCTTCCGTGGCATGTCAGAGAATACTCTTCGCGCTTTTACAATACTTCCGCATTTGGAATACATGTCAATCAAAGCATTTCCCACATCATTCTTGACCTTGTTTCTGACAATATAGATCTTGATCCATTCTCCTATCTGTAACGCCCCTAGATGAGCACAAGCTGTGAGAATACTCACCATAGTGTACTCATCCGGTCGTATATTCGATTCTTGCATCTGTCGGAACAATACCAAAGCCTCTTTAAAACAATTCACTCTAATGTACCCGTCGATCATTGCAGTCCATGAAACATACTCTTTCGGGCATTTGATCGAAATAACTTCTTGCCAAATCAATGTCTCCCTTGTTTATAAACCCTGAAACCATTGTAGTCCATGAAATCACATCCCCTGTTTTCATCCTATCGAAAATCGCAACCGCTACACCCATTTCTCCACAAGTTGCATACATATCAATCAAAGCATTATCCAAAATCAACTTAGGCTCTATCTCGCATCTTTCGATATAGTTGTGAATCTGCTTGCAGGCCTCCAAATCTCTCGATTTAGAACAAGCCGACAGCAAAGAAACCAAAAGTAACCGAAGAAGGAACCACTCCATTCTTCTCCATCTCCTCGAAAAGCTTACATGTTTCGTCGTATCACTTCATTTGATTATATCCGGTTATAATCACATTCCAAGTAATCAAGTCGGTTTTACCAGTAATATGGAAAGCCCGACGTGCTATCTCCATTTGTCCACACAATGAGTACATATGGATCAAAGCATTTTGCACAAAGACATTAGAACATAGCCCGAAATTCACCACATGATAATGCAACTGTTTCCCGCATGAAAACCCAACATTCCTGTGGAAACCCTTGAGAAGGAAAGGGAAAGTGTAGTTATCGGGCTTAACATTCTGTCTTAGCATGTTTAGATACATTGAAATCCCATGTTTTGGAGAATCAATCCTAGAGTAGCCTTTGATCATTGTGTTCCAAAGGTAGACGCTTTTCGGTTCAGGAATCTGGTCGAACAATTTGAGTGCATGGTCCATGTCACCGGATTTGTTGAAACAGAAAAATGAAATAGCTTTGTTGTGGAAGACAGGTGCTTTTGCTACGCCTAATGTTATGGTTCGGCATTGGATTTGTTTGAGTTGGTCCATGGATTTGCAGGTTTCAACAAGAGAGAAGGGTGGGTGAAGATGATGGGAAAAGCGGGTAGAAGCCATTGAAGATTGATTGCTTGGGAAATGGAGTGGTTTGGCAAAATGGGAGATATTGAAATTGGCATTACAATTGCATTGATTTGCTTTGCATGAAAGATGAAAGCCAAAAGGAAAAGAAAGAAAAAAAAAGCTCTGAAGCGACGTTAAGTCGTCTGAATATCAGACGGTTGAAAAGAATCCATATCTTCACAAGAGCGCATTCATCGTCATCGATTCTTTGATGCACCAACCGGGAATCAAACCCGGGTCTATATCATGACAGGGTACTATTCTACCACTAGCCCACTAGTGCTTCGTTGATGCAATTTGTTTAGGTGAATCTTCATTTTCTTTAAATTTGAAACGAAGAGGATACTCAATTATAAATTCAAACCAAATCCGATTTCAAGTTTATAATTTCTCTATTAATCAGGGGTAAATACATGTTAATATATGTTCAAATATTCTCAATCATTTGACAACGAATACTCGTACCTCTTACATACGTGGTGCTAGAGTCTAAGATCTCAATGAATAACAACAATCTTTCACCACTAAAGTCAATTTATTCGTACAAAACTTACAATTTAAATTAACAACATAAAATGATTAATACGATATGATGCAAGCTCTACTTGTAGGTGAAGTTGATACATTTGTGTTCTTAATCGTATTAAGGTGACCCGAAGAAAAGAGACTTCGAATTAAAATTTTATTTGAAATGATGCATAAATAGTGATCTAAGGGGTGAAATGTTGGATAAAGGATAGTTGATAGATTTGATAGGGATAAAAATTTGAGGATGAATCGTGACTCACTACTTATATGGAGATAGAAACAAATGATATACTAAGATGGATGAACGCCACACTTTGAGAGTGATAAATTCGATAGAGATTTAGTAGAATCCACAAATAAAGTTTAATAAGTCAAAGATAAAAAAAATTCAACTTGTATTTTACAAAGAAAAATGTAAGTTCAACTTTTACAAAATAAAATTTGATTATCTATTTATAGTTTTTACATAAAATAAGTGAAAGGGTGAATAAATTAAAATAAATACATGAATAAATTTAATTAATTTTGGTGCATTTCCAAGGGTTAGACGTACAATGCATAAATGATTAAGTGAGTGATTCCTTTTAGTGTTTCAATGAACTTGACTGATGAATCAATTAAATTACATGCGTATTGTCTCTTCATGTATTTGGGACTTCAATGGATGTTTTTAGGCTCCAAATCTTTTTTGATCGCACGTATAAGTAGGGGGATGAATAGTTGTTCTAGCCATGCATTTAGAGAGGTGAATATGTGAATGTATGAGTCGTTTAAGAGACTCCAAGCTTATATGTGTACATAACAAATTAAATTCTTTAAACCCCTTGCTACAGGTTTCCTTATGACATACATCGTCCTCAAGCGAGTAGGCTTTTTGTAGAACCAATATTTTGATATAACAAATAAGGACAAAAATGTTTTTGGATCAAATTGAATTTATTCAAACATTGCAAAAATAATTCAAAGTTTTTAAGTTTTTAAAAAGTGAAACAGATAATTTTGGGCTTGGTTTCGAAACCACTTCAAGAGGTTTCGAAACCCCTATTCAAACGGTCAATATTTTAAGTGAGGTTTTGAAACCCCTATGCAAAATTGCATATTTTTCAGCTCCCAACGGCTCCAAATCACCCCAACAGCTAGTAATTCATTCCAACATATAAAAATAAATTGAGAACACTTGAAGAAGCACACCATCACCTATCCAAGCAGTCAAACACAAGAAAAAAGCTTTTTATTCTTTATTTTTCTTTCTCTTGTAAATATTTGTGTTTTTGTAAACTTAAACTTTATAAAGACCTTCTTTTTTAGAGGTTTTCTTGTTTACAATTATTTTCCTTTGTAAAAAGGTCTTGGTTCTAGCTAAGCCTTTGAACCTCTCTGTCAAGGCTTGCTTGTCATCATTATTGGCTAAACTTTTAATGTGCTTTGCATGATTGGGTTATCTTTAAAACACAGAAGGCCTCCAAAAACTTGATTATATTTGCTTAAAACATTCAATTTTTAAAAACATTCGTTTCCTCTTTTAATATATATATTCTGATTCTCAATTATGATTCAATAAACTAAAAGCATTCTTATTATATAATATGGAATATGAAACTGACAAGTGTTTTCTTTTAACAAACTGAGATGAGGTTCTAAACCAAAGCACCATCATTCTTTATAAGTATACCAACAAAAGCCCAGTTTGAAACTTACAAAGCTTAAACCATTTCCTCGTTAGAAGATATCCGGGTTGAAACGCCCCGGGATCGAGCTGCTTGAGTGTGCTTGTTTCAAATGCATCATCAATGCATAGTTATTTACCTGTAATGTAATGCAAAAAAAATATGAACACTAGTTTGATAAAAACAATAGAATATTGACTTGTTTCATAAATATGCCTGTGTTTTTTTCGGACAACATAGCATAATACCATGCCATGTTGATGTTATTCTTTCCTTATATGTTATAGGCGATGTTTTATTCACTAAATGCAGAGCTTTGAGAGATTTTGATACTGACCTCTAAAGTTCGCAGCTGCTCCTGATACTGTGAAACCAATTGCTTCAAATGTTGCAACTCTTGGTTTTTATCCTGATACTCCTTTTGTCGTTCGTGTTGGACAGCCACAGCACGTTTGAGGACCGTATTTTCTTGGATTAATGCTTCAATTTGTTCTTTTAACAAGAAATTTTCCTGATAATAGAAAACACAATCAAGTCTTCAGTGTCTGATACTAGTTTGTGCCTGAAAGTAGAAAGCTATAGGTAGATATGCCAAGATGGTTAAGAGATAACACCTTGTGAAAACTTTGTGCTGTCTCTTCAGCAGCCAGTTTACTAATGGAATTCTCCAAAATCGCCAGCAATCTAGAGGCACGGGATTTGGCATCATCCATACTTGTAGCACTCATCATCTCCCTCACAAACAAGTCCACCCAAGCAGCACCATCAACAGGCAAATTTTCAGAGACTGATAGATTCTGAACGGTCACAGGAGCAGAGGCTTCTCCATCATTTGTCAATACACCTGCAATTTTTGATGAAGATGTGACATTCCTTAAAAAGTGTGAACTGTCCAGCTTAAAGTAGACAGCATATTGTACACAGTGCACCAATTCAACAGAGAATAATTAATGTTCAGACGGCAGGCTTCAAAGTAGTAAAATTTATATATTTTTTTTCTACGGGTTAGATGATCCAACATAAGGTGTCAAAAAAGAAGATTCTTCAATTCATTCTAGTTAATGTAGCAATTCTGATAAGAGTTGAAAGAAGAACTGCAACTAGTAGAAAAAGGATTATTTTAAAGCACTTGCATAATCTAAGGGTTTACCGACCCCAGGGAAGCCTATATGTTTTATTCCCTTCTCCTTCTGCATATAAATTTAACCATTATGGGTATAGAATATTCTAAAAACTACCACAGTCTAAAACTGAAGCTAGATAGCAATAGCATCAACCAATTCGAGGGTTGGAACTGAAACATTTCCGGTTCATCATAGAAACAATTTTGCAACATCGACCACCAATCAACAATTAAACTATAATTAAAAGATTCCGGGAGAATTAAGAAAAAGAAGATATAGCAGATTGATCAGAAAGTCTGCTGGCAATGCGAAATTTAAATGAATCACAATTTCAAGAATTAGGTACATACCCTGCTCGGCAGTTGTGCCCAATACCTCAACAGAACATGTCTTGTGTCCTCTAGCCTGTGGAGCTCCTAAGCAAAGTTCCTGCAGCCTCTTGACCGCTGAGTCTATATCATTGCCACATTCTAATAGAGCTTTCTCCAGAAGCTGAAAGAAATAATTGCTAATTACTAACAGAAGAGACAGATGTATCACCATTTCAACAGCCAACCATAATAAATCTCTATCATCAATAAAGCAGTAAAAGCAGACATTTTAAAAGCTATGCAACAGAAAAGAAGACGAGAAGGTAAATCTTTTAACCAAACTAAAAGAAGTAATCTCATATACAAAATAAAGAAAAATGAACGGCCACACAACTGACAAAGGAAACACTAACAAAGCATTGATCAAAGATCATCATATAAGTAACCAACTAAAAAAGGAATTCCCAAACGCAGTGTCAACACCAGAGATTTTCCAATTACCAGTCCCTTTCATGGCTCAAATTCACACAACCGCATTCTAATTGTTCAGAATTTACAACTGCAATTTTCAGAATTATACCTTATTCATAAATCTTTTGAAATTCGATTTATTGATAGGATAACAAATAAAACCTACACTTTGCATCAAATTGACGAAATACTGAAGAATTAAATACAAATTAAAAAAGGGGAGATATACCTCGAGGTCCATATGAGGGAAGAGAGCTTGGAGGTGATTGAGAGCAGATAGTGGACGAACAGAAGAAGGAGATGACGGCGAGCAACGCCGGATCTTCTTAGAGGAAGAAGCCGATGGCGGTGACGGAATATCCTCGAAGAAAGATCTTTTGCTGCCGCACACTGCCGCAGACATCCTTTGCTAAATCAAATTAAAAAAATAAACTCTTTTTGGCTCACTATCAATCTCAATCACTCTCTCTTCTCTTCCTTTCCCTCTTAAATTAAGAAAAAGAAGAAAAATTCGAGCTTTCTGGACTGAAATTTTCTATTTGGTTGTCGAGAAAATGAAGAAATCTAATATTCGGGCTTGGGTTTTTTGATCCGTGTTTTAGACCTATATAGCGGTGGTAGACTGGTCGAAATGAAAGCGAAATGCTTTAAAACGGTGCCGTTTCCATTTTTCGTTTTTGGTATATTTTTTAAAATGAGTTGATTAGCGCATGAGGTAGATTCTACAAGATTTTATTAACGTTAACATTAAAATAATAGGACTAATTATGACTTTAGTCCCTTTATTATATTTAAATCAAATATTCGTCTATTATTTGGAAAATCTTAATTTTTTATTAATATTGATTTATTTTTATTATAACTATTATCTAACAATTATAATAATAATTTATTGAGTGATCTTAGTATTAAAATAGTGTTATTCTCTTTAAATGATCGAGATTCGAGTAGTTATGATGTAAGGTGTATGTTGTCAATTGCTTAAAAAATTATAACATATATTATATTGTAATCATTCTAAACATATATAACTACTAAAATTCAGAATATAAGATGATTACAATGTAGTTTTTGTTTAAAATCTTTCTTAATTGTTGATAATACACACTCTCAACAAATACAACTGGAGCACCAGAAAACTCTTCCGCAGGGTAGGCGAGAAGGCTTCCTGATGAGGATTATAATGTTGTATGGTAAGGCTGGAAAGGTAAAGCATGCTATCAATACTTTCCATGATATGCATTTGTATGGATGTAAGAGAACTGTTAAATCTTTCAATGCCGCGCTTAAGGTTTTGATTCAAACTCGTGATTTGGGAGCTATAGAGGCGATTCTCGCTGATGTTCCGTCGAAATTCCTTGTCGAACTGGATACATATACGGCTAATATAGTTATCAAGGCATTTTGTGAAATGGATTTTCTTGATAGGGCTTATTTTTCATGGTTGAGATGGAAAAGTTGGGGATAAAACCAGATGTTATTACGTACACGACACTTATAACAACATCCTATCAAAAGAACCGGTGCAAGATCGGCAGCGGGTTGTGGAATCTTATGGTGTATAAGGGGTGCAGACCTAATCTTACAACTTTTAATGTTAGGGTTCAGTACTTGATTAATAGGAGACTAGCATAGCAAGCTAATGAGGCGATGCGTTTAATGCAGAAAATCGGGATAGAGCCTGATGAGGTTACTTACAATTTGGTAATCAAAGGTTTTTGCCAAGCCGGTTATCTCGAAATGGCTAAAAGGGTCTATTCGTCTCTAGAAGGTCGTAGTAAGCATAGGCCGAATGTTAAGATTTACCAGACGATTATCCATTATTTGTGCAAAGGAGGGGAGTACAATTTGGCCTATGCAAGGTGTATAGATTGCATGAGAAAGAGTTCGTTCCCGAATGTGGATACGATTCATTCACTGCTTCAAGGCCTTATGAGAAACGGGCAACTGTGCAAGGCTAATATGATAATGAAATTGGTTAGGAGTCGGAAACCGCCTTTTTCCTCGACTCAATTAGATTCGTTGCAATCAATTTTGTCGAGGAAGTGATGGATTGAAACCCAACCAGCTTGGTTAATGTTAAACACAGCTCAAAAGAAGCTGATCATTCTTTCACTTGATGCAGTTGTAGTTTTACAAAACTAATTGGAGATTACGGTTCAGAATAACATCAAAGCAACAGCAGATCCCATTTTTTGTTGAATTAATTTGGTGTTACGCTTCAGTTAGTCCGATATTAACTAGAATTCGAATGGAGAGCATAATTCAAATTCTTGTAAGTCATCATCAGGGTTTTAAATAGCGGTCCGCAACCGCAATAGCGCCCACGAAATAACAGTAGCGCTGCCTTCCGATATACCCGCAATAGCTCCCGTTATGACTGCAATCGCGATAAACGAGACATGACCGAAAATGCGACCGCAACCTCGATTTCAATCCCTGGTCATCATGAAACTACGATCTATCCTGATTTTGTCGTTTATTCGACATGAAGCACCTTTTCTTTGCGACTTATTTTCCATGTTTTGCTATTGCAATTCCATTTTTCTCTAAGTGAAACATGCATTCCAATAGGCATGAATTCAATCTCCATGCATGTTTCAGATATATGTTGGTATGAGGATTCTAAGCCGTAATGAAGAATAGAATGACCATATTTTTCGTCGTTTCTGGTTAATCATCACTTATGCTTGCTTAACATATCAGTATCACTCTTCAGTTTTCACTAGAGAACAATGGAAGATGTAGTAGCTAACATTCAACTATATTTCTCTTTGAAGTTTATTGTGATACCAGTAGAAGCCTTGAGGTTCATTTTTCATACGAATCGGGAGCTGCACTGGATGAACATTCGAAATGATTAAATGAATTTGAGTTTCATACGAATCAGGAGGTGCACTGGATGAACATTCGTAATGATTAGAAGAATTCGAGGTCGGTTTCTTCCATGGAAGTGCATTGTCTCTTCTTACATTGGCCCTTCTCCGGAACTGGTATAGGTCTGAAATAATGTCATATGTGTGAAGATTTAGTGTTATCACTGGTTCAAGCTGTCTTTCCTTTTGTTTGTGAAGTGACACTGCTTCTGCTATGGTTCTTTTACCAATGGGGAAAATAGTCGTTTAGTGGAGTTGATTTTACAAATGAATTATTAGATTATTTTAAATTTTTTTTCATACAAGGGTATATATTTCACCTGGTTAATCTTGGAGTGTAAATAAACCGAACTCAAAAAAATAGAGTTATGTTCGTGTTTGATTATAATTTTAAAAATGTTTATATTCAATTTGTGTTCATTTATTTATTTTTGAAGGTATTTGTGTTTGTTTATTTAAGATTTATGAACATATTCTTTTAACATTCACGAACATTTTAGGTTAACATTCGCCATCAACACTCTTTTTATCATTTTATTTGCAAACTAAAGTAACTAATGAAATTAGTTCTTAAATTTATTAGGTTTCATAGTTTAAACTCCAATGTTCATCTTATATTCAATTTAGTACCTATCTTGACAAGTTTATTCGTGAATATAAACTAATTGAATCTACCTTTGTTTTCACCCTCTTTTAGATCTGTTTCTGCATGAAATATACAATGAAATAAGTCCCAAATTACCATTTAAGAATAGCAATATAAAAAATTATTTGAATAAAAAATTGAACAAACACATTGATTTGACTCGATACATTACTTGACACGTTATATGCAGTGTCGACGGATTCTGAGCAACCGGTTTGGATCAAGATGCCATACACATCAAACTAGATGCTTCGGGCTGTCAAGGAAGCATTTTTCAGCTTGTGAGATCATCTGGACGAAACCCTCTTTGCAGATAAGATCATTCCAAGAACAGAACTGTTCGAAATTCGGACCTGCCTCTTGCTGAGGGGTTTCCGAAGCTCGGTTCACGGTAGCTCATCTTCTACACACAATTCGCTCCAAGATGCATAAGAAATGAAGGCTCAAGAGCTAGTCTGCTAGGCTAGAGATTTGTGTTTAAACCCTCTCATTCGAGTCGAAACCATTGGAAGACAATATTCTTCCAATTCTTTTAATTGAAAGTATATCCATAGCAATATACATAAACAATATCTCCATTCCAATCATTTTCATAATAGTAATATGCTAAATATTTCTTTTGCAAAGTGACGGAAAGTTCTCCACCAGTTTATCGAAGCATAACTTTCGTAAACAATATCAAAATCTCGAAACGATATACACATAATCTGTGGCAATATACATATATATACACAAAACAGCCCTAGTTTTGCAGCATAGTCGTCATATATTACTTGAAAGGGAGAAAGAGTATGACAAGGTACCCGTATAATTCTCGAATAATTTGGCAGCAGAAGTTTCGGGTAAGCTTGTTTTTCTATTAAGCCCATTGTGGAACCCTACAGCAATGTCCTACTGCTTCTGTCATAGCTGACTCCAACATGATCGAAAGGAAGTATTACGATCATCTCAAAAGGAATCAACGGCCAGGCCGGAAAGAACTTTCTGCTTAATGAAGCCGCCAGTGCATGTTAGGCACGGAGAGGGCTACACTAACCCAAACTCGATCCATAAGTTTCCCAACAGAAAGACTTGGTGACACCCCATTGTCCCAGTCGAGTCGAATATCTTCCAAATATAATCCTTCACACGGCAGGCTATCACTGCAGACAAATCTTATTGCTTCCTCGGTAGCTCAAGTTCCCTTAATGTGTACATAGGATATGTTTTCCACTTTAACAGCCAATATCTGCACTCCATCAAATTAATAGTCGACACAATTACCATTGCATTAATCTACGACATTAAACTCCGAGAACGATAGAAAGTGAGCTATCTTCTATAGTTGCGAAAACACGACTAAAGAGAGAAGGAAAATGTACCTCTCATAAAGTTCGATTTCTAGGCATAAAAAATATGAAATTGTTTGCAGGGTTGCATTATAAAGAACCGATACCTGTTTAGCACATGGCAGGTCGAATCACAGTAATATTGGTCAATGATGATCGGATATGCTGTTGAAAAATAAAGCATGGGCGGCTGAAATAATGGGAAGCAATTTGGAAGCATTTTTGGACGGCAAATTTGGTCAAATTTGGCCACCAAATTGTTGAATTTATGTAATGAGTAAATGATAAATTTAGTCATTGTAATTTAGGGTATTTACAAGATTGGTCCTTAAGCTTCAACTATAAATACTCTAACTCATTTAGCTTCAAAACCATCTCAAAGCATTCTAGCTTTCTCCCAATACTAGAGAATTTATAGAGTTTTCTTGAGAGTTGTTTTCTCCTTTTTATCAAGAGATAATTATCATTGTTTTCTCCTTGGTAGATCGAGAGAGGTTGTAATTCCTATTTTCTCATAGTGAAATTCTTCTACCGTTGCCTGTGGTTTTTACCATATATTATTTAGGGATTTTCCAAGTAAATTTTGTGTCTCTTTTATCTTCAATTGGTATCAGAGCCAGATTTGAGTGTGCAATATCTGCTTATTGTTTTTGTGGTTGCCACCAAAAGGTGGATCCTCAAACATAAGAAAGTAAGAATGTATTACCCATTTTTTGAAGG